TCCTACCATCTCCTGGTCAGTAGCTTGGAAGCTGTTAAATGCTCCTTTTTAGGAAGAGATGAGGTTCAGGACCACGTATCAAGTTCCTGGAAAGTCTGGAGGTGTTTATAATCTTTCCCCCAAAATCATATTTTAGTCATTTTCAAAAGGAGGGATTGTTTATTTTAGATAAAAGATTTTTTGGCCCATTACTAAATAGTGTAGATTATGAAATTCTGCATTTTTCAAGGAGCATATCCCTAATTTCCTAAACGTACAAGAATTAAATTATGTCTAGTTCATATTCTGACTGCATGCATTTGCAATTAGCTATTCAGGCATTTTCTTTCATTTAATTTCACCATCATCAAGTAGTATTTATTAAGCACAAACCTGGCTAATTAATTTTCTGGAGAATAGCAGGTATTCATTCTCCCTATTGAAGAGCCCTTAAAAAATCTATTTTTTTTCCTTAGCAAAATTGTCTTTAAATTTAATTTTTTACTTTATTATTTTAAGGTTTCAATCGGACACATCCCTCTGTCAAAATCAGAATGTACAAATAGAAATATCAAATAGAAATATCACTCAGGACCTGTATACTGTATACTGGATTCCTTTTTTTTTTTTTTTTTGCAGTGTATTAATATTCTACCTCATTTTTTACAAATATCACTATTTTAGTTATATGTTGTTTCTAATGACTCATTTTTTAAGAAAGAAAAAACAGTTAAAGTATAATCAGCAGATATAAAAGTACATTTTCTATAAAAAATTCAGTTCATATAGTACATCAAGCATAAAGCAAAAAGTCACAGCTCTTAGAAGTCAAAATGTTTAGCAAACGAGGATGAAAATATTTAAGATCTTCAAAATGATAATCAGAACTTTCTGTGCACTTCCCTGGAGAAAAGCTAACTTTTATGTGAATTTTAGGAAAGCAGAGGAAGTTTTCTCCAGGTACTTTTATTCCAACTGCAACCAAGACAATCTTTCTTTTGATTTAACAGTTCCAACACATGCTCTTGAAATTCTAATCACGAAAATAAAATTTTAAGAAAGCATCTTCATGGACATCATAATTTCCTTCATAGTTCTCGAGTCATGAGATGTCGAATGTATTTTGGTCTGGAAGCAATTACGCTGTCCTTCAGGGGGCAGATGTCCAAGAAGAATGACGGAAACTAAAACAAAACTACAGACTGGTAATGCTTGTTACTGCTTAAGCATATTGGCATGGACCCTATAAATCATATGTGGCAATTTCAGTACATTGCCACTTTGACTAGGCTGAAAGGCACAGCTCAAAGCAATGCTTCAGGGGTCCATCAAGAACACGTGGCAGACATGACCAAAACCAACGAGCACAGAAGTGTTTCTGAACTTTTTTTTTTTTTAAAGATTTATTAATTTGGGCCCTCCCTGGTGGTGCAGCACTTCAGTGCCAGTTCAATCCCCCTCCTAGAAGTTGATCCACATAGCTTGGCAGACCTCTCCTGTCTCACCCTCTGCTCCCCTCAGCAGTGAACTTCATTGGTCTGCCTTTTCTGCTCCCCACTCTGTCTCTGGTAAGTCCTCTCACTGTCCCTGCACCTCTGATCTGTACCCCAGTTATGTATGTATAAAGAAATCTTTTATTAAAAATGAAAAAAATAAAGATTTATTAATTTATGCATATAAGAACTGGGGAGCAGAACAGAGGTATTGGGAGAGGATTCACCAGAGACAGGCTGGGGAGCAGAACAAGACAGACAGGCTGAAATACACTACTGAGGAGGGTGTGCGGAGAGGTCTGCTGTGCCATGTGGGTCACCTCCCTGGCTTGGGACTGAGCTCCTGCTGCAGTGAGCTTTACTTCTTGATTATGTCACTTGATGAGATTCTGTATTTGAATAATTTGGAATCAAGAAGTATGGCTTAGTTTGCTTAGTTTAGATGAGGGATTCACTTTGAAGAGGGAATCCTAGAATATCTTGATGTTCTTATTGTCAAATGGAGATTGACATCACTATTAGAAATAACTCAAATAAGAGATGAAATGACAGACAGCAGAACTGAGTGTAAAGAGGTGTGTGTGTGGGGGGGAAACAGGCTCTTAATTAGAGTTGCCGCCAATCAGGGGTTTACATCTGGCAAGAAGTAGCCTATCTTTGTTTACACCAGTGGAAGCCCCCAGGAGAATACAGGACACAGGATCAACAGGAAAAATTTGGTCATACTTTTCAAAGTACTGCCATTTTCAAAATTTTACCTTCCCTTCAGGGAAAAACACCTTGAGAACCAATTAGTGTTAGGAAGGGCCAGGGAAAAGAGAATGTGCCCTGGCAGAAAGCTTATTTTGTTGATTTGAGGTAAAAACCTAGGGCCAGATGCCAAAGTGGATGTTCCCTATACTTATCTCCCTCTTTGTCTCCAGGGACACTGCAGTCGCTACACTTGTGTCATCTGTATGGGGACAATGTCTCAAAACAATTTTTATAAGGCATGATTCTGATTCATAGAACAGGTGGTAACCCTGGCTTTCTGAGAGGCAGCAATGGATTATTGCAACAGCAGAAGGAGAATAGAAAAATAATTCTTTTTCTGATTAATTGTATTTCTTGTGAGCAAAGCTTAGGTCCCTACCCTTTACACAGCAAAAAGTAAATAAGATAAATGGACACTAAACATTGACAATAAGGCTAAGTTCATGATTGATGCCGGTGACTGTTTAAGATCAGCTATAGATATATGCTGCCCAGTGGTTTTTAATGGTGTGATTGTCTGACTCAGCAGACCAGTGTCAGGAAGGAAATTTACATAAATGGAAAGTGAACTCTTTCTGCAACAAACAGGACTGTTACAAACTGCTTAGGTAAGGAGATGCTCACTTGCGCAAACATGGATATACATATTAAACCTGCTCTCCAATATCTACTTGAGCTTAAGTTATTGCCCATAAAAAAGCTAAGATGTTTGCTTTTAATTTCCAAAAAATACATTTCAGTTTCAATTTTACTTGGAATAAATTCTACAAATAGAACTGTCATTAGGAATAAGAAAAATAACATCAAAGCTTGCATTCATAAGCATGGCCAACATACACCTTCAAACAGCACGTGTGCAGGTGATTTGGCTAAGGATGACAGGTGAGATACAAGATAAGTGTGAAGCCGTGGCCCCTTCTGCCTGGGAATAGGGAGGGTGAGATGAGGAGCATTTGTCACAGGCCAGGGTAGCCAGGCTCTGGAGTGAGCTGCTGGGTTCCAATGGTAGTTGTAGCTATTGTTGATCATGTGAACACAGGACACACACTACCCACTCTCACCTGCAATTCCTCTTTGATGAAAAGACAGTTACCCAGTGTGAATTAGAATAAAGTCAGAGAATCCACTTGAAATACTTATGATGTCCAGCCCATCAAAGCACTCAACACAAGAATGTGAACTGTTCTTGTTAATACTATTATTACCCTCTGTGCCTGGGTTTACAATTTGAGCCAGACTTGAGGGTTTGATATAATAGATGATTGGCCCCAATTCTTTACCCTTCCTGTATCCAAGTCTTTGCCACAGCCTAACTGTGGGTGACACTGTACTCCTTTGGAGTCCAGAACCCAAGAGGCTATTGCTGCAGGGCCTGTGACATGTCACTGCATGAGAAGAGCATGTTGCAGAAAGCGTGCTGGTCCAGGGCACAGGTAAAACATGAGCACACTGAGCTCTGCAGCCCTACTGCACAAAGTCACACCAGCCGAGTTACGGCCCCTGCAGGTGTCCTGCAGAGTCAGCAGGGAAACCATGCCCACTGATGCATGTAACTGACATTTTGTCATTATTTATTATGCAACAAAAGCTAACTGAGCCAAGCAGTGCACTAAAGAGGCATCTATCTATAGTGAATTTCTTACTTCCCAAGGAAAAAGACATTAGTTCAGTGTCAGGTCTGAAAAAAATGACAGTGGGATGATCAGAGCTGGAGACAAATGTCCCGACGAAGCCAGGGTTTAGGGCTGGGTGCTGGCTTCAAGAAAGGCCTTCTGGGCTCTGGGAGAGGGCACGTGTTATCAATACCAAATTATCTGAAAAATGGTTAACATTTATTGAAAGTTCGTCATAGGCACTGTGCTAGTGTTTCACACGTAGCGTACCTTTTAGTCTGCACAAGAGCACCAGGTAGGACATCCTAGCAACTTTGTAAAAGAGGGAACTGAAGCATACTGAGGATGAGTGGTTTGCCGACATCCACAGAAGGTGAGGGTGGTTCTGTTATGATTCAAAGTCAGCAGGTGTTACTGCAGTGTGGTGGCAAAGGATGATAATGGTGAGGAGCGCTAAGTCTAAACACACTCCCCTATGTTCACTGTATGCAATAGTTTATTCAGTCTGAAGAAACCCATCAATTTCGTAATGTGTGTTAGCCCCATTCTACAGATGTGGAAATGGGCACATGACAGGTCAATATCCTTGGCCACAATTAACTAGTGGAGTTGATTTGAACCCAGGCACTTGAGCTAACGATTATACATTACAGCCAGATCACACACTGACTGCCAGGCATGAAAAGGTAGAGCACGTTCTTTCCCTTTCTTGGGAAATTTACAAACTTCTCCCTTTTCAAAGACATGGTTCTCTTCATGTGTATAAAATGACCTTTATACTATAATCACTATCAAGTTGCAATGAGCTTGTATTCTTGCAGGCACAATTTTCTTATTTGCTGGTTTTATGTTGACTTTGTTTTTAGTGTTGGTCTTCCAATTATGTATTTTGAGGTTCAATTCTGTCAAGTTACAGATTCAAAGTAATAAAATGTCTGTAAGAAAACATATTCATCAGGGTAGGCTTTCAGAACTACCTCTGGGAATGACATTAACTACTTAAAGTATAAAAACAGACAACTGTTGCCAGGTGTTCACCACCCTGCTCTGGTACAAGCAACTCTGTGGCCCGAAGCCTTCACACACTCTCCACCCAGTCAAGCACATATAGCCATACCTCTCCACACTTTCACACTGGTGTGCAAATCTCACTCCTACCCACCTTAAAGGCAGCACCTCCATGGATGATGGATTTGATAAAAATCCCAAAGTCTGTTCCAGTTTCTCGAGATTTGTTCCCTTTCAAGCTCACGCCTAGGCCAGCAGAGCCAGAGTCGTTCAGGGGGATCTCCAGGATGAGTCGCTCAACTGTTTCCAGGGAAAGTGCGTAGCAGTCAGGTTCTCCTTTCTGATGGGAGAAAGTGCACATGAAAAGGGAAGAAAGCAGATGAATATTTACACAACTCAGATGGACAAACACAGATACAATTAGTAAGACAAGATGATTGAACCTCTAACAGCTGTAATTCCATGCCTGGCAGGCAAAGGCTAGTCTTCTGTCTGCCATGGGCCACCACCTCAAGCATGGAATGAGGGATGTGTTCCTGGGACATTTGGTGATAATCAGCAGAGAGTATCCTTCGACATGGCAGAATCATGCTATTGTATCACCCCATAAGCATTTGGAAATTAACCAGAATATTCTCAACAGTTAGACACTGAACATAAGACTTTGGGAAACTTAGGTATCAAAAAAACCTTAGCAATACTGTTATCTTAACACATTCATTGCACAGATGAAGAAACAGGGCTTAGTGTAGAAATATGCTAAAACTCTGAGGAACTCTCTGGCTTACATATGATTTAAAACATCACTTATTGTGGAAGCAATGCTCCTGATAAAGACTGTCAATAGAATACAGAACACTGAAAAAAATGCTATTTTAAAGTCAGAGAAATGTGATTTATAATGGTTATCACTGAATTAAATTTTACTTTGTCAAAACTTCTGCCTTAAAGTTTGCATCTTTGAGTGGTATAACTCATTGGCACTGTGTTTTTAAACCCAAACAAAAATGATAACGCATAACAAATAGTCACGTCTGCTTTGACAAATGACACTTCACCACCAGTATAGCTGTTTTCCAAAAATAGAGTTGGTGGCAAAAGGCACATTTAAGTATCAGGTCTCCAGGGCAAAAGTGCTTAATCACATTTGGTCCCTGGGGCTTTCTGATATATAGCAGTGGGAATAAAAGCACTGTCGGGGCCCTCCCTGGTGGCACTATGGGTTAGAGCATAGCACTGCAAGCTAGTCACAGCCGCTTCAATGCGAGTTCGATCCCTGGCCCGGGAGGTGAACGGGAGGTGACCACCTGGCAATGCGGACCTCTCCTGACCCACCCGCTGCTCCCCTCAGCAGTGTACCTCATTGATCTTCCTGCTCTGCTCCCCTCTCTGTCTCTGGTGAATCCTCTCACTGCCCCTATACCTCTCACCTGTACTCCAGTTCTGTATGCATAAATAAAGAAATCTTTAAAAAAAAAATTGAAAAAGCACTGTCCACATGATATTCTCTGTAGGCATTTCTTCTGTTTCTCTCCTGAGCCTGCACCATCCAAGTGAAACATGTGAAAATGAGATAGCTCTGGAACCTCTCCACTCTCCAGTTCCTTCCTCTCTGTAATTATGTCTAGAGACTCCCATCTTAAGGTCATTTTGAGGAACTCTGGTGTAAAATTAGGTATTTTAAAAATGAATGTGAGTGTCTGAATGTCAGTCACCAAGTAACAACTATAAAATCAGAAATAGCAAAGAACCCATAATTAAAACAGGATTAAGAGGTCTTATACATGTCAGACCCACTACCGTGGCATTTTCAACTCCTACCAAAATAGAAAAATCCAGTGTCTGACTTAAAAAAAAAAATAGTTCCCTCACTTAATTTCACCGTTAAGATTTTGACAATAAGTAATTTCAAAGAAATGAAACTTTATTGTTTAATTTAATAAAACTATTACAGGTTAGCTCTTTAAACTGACTCATTATATTATGATCTAAGAAAAAAATCCATTATTTGAGTCAAACTGGCGGTCCTTTTTTCTTCCCAGTGAAATGCCAGAGTTAAATACTAAATAAATTATTAGCCTTCATTTTTGTCTTCCAAAATGCCCAATTTAGAATCCATAACATTGTGTAATCATTTACATTACCAGGCCTCTCTGGGATTTGGTTAATTTCAGTCTAATAAAGTTCCACCAAATTAAAGTGTAAATTAAAGAACAGCTGTGCTTACTAGAAGTTTGTGAACACCATTCTAGAGAAAAACTAGAAAGCTTTTCTTTTATTTACCAGAGACAAAGTAACATAAGAAAAGTTTTGTTTGTTTAACCACTTTATTCAATAATCAAATTAGCTTATGTTGGACATTTTTGTTTAATAATTCGTAATAACATTGACAATTACTATTTGTACTATCACCTTTCATTTAGTATACAATTTGTGAGAACAAAGTAGAAACCAGGAGGTGTTATAACTAATTTTTCATTTGAAACTTAATTTACATTTTCTTAAGACTCTAGATTCTGAGAGCCAAAACTACAACAAACACGTGACTGACTGCTACTAAGCGATTCTATTCTCAGTGCTTGACACACATCAACACACTTACTCCTCATTTTTTTTTTAAAGATTCATTTATTCATGCATACAGATTTGGGGTAGAAGCCAGAGGTGCAGGGGTGGTGAGAGGATTCACCAGAGACAGAGTAGGAGCAGAACAGGCCGACTGACTAAGAATACTGCTGAGGGCAGTAGCGGGTGAGACAGGAGAGGTCTGCTGTGCCATGTGGGTCAGCTCTCTGGCTGGAGCTAGAATTCTTGCTGCAGTGGCTGTGCACAGCTTCAGAGTGATGAACTGTAACCCACGGTGCCTCCTATGAAGTTTATTATCATGCCCACTTCACAGACAAAGAAATCGAAATATGCGGGATAGGAACCCTCTTATTGTTCACGAGACTTGTTATTTTTGGAGCTCTGTGGAGCACAAAAAGAGGGTCCTGTGTCACACTCTGACCTGCACAACTGTCTCAACTTCTGTGGGCCACCATGATTTGGTCAAGCCACAAGAAATTCCCAGACAAGGTCTCAAGTGACAGTAAGAAGCCAGGGACCTTCACATTCTCTGCCCGGCTATAGTTATGCTTTATATCTTTCTTAAGTTGTTCCAGGCTCAATTAGTGGCCTCTAATAATAGCCAACTTCCCAATGGTGAAGGAAGACATTACTGTAGTTAACACTGTCATTTCCTCTGTTACCTAATGTATAACAAAATCAATACACTGAATGCTTCCCTCAATAACCTTGGTTCAACACACAATACTGAAAATTAAACTCAAATTGTGCCAGACCCAGACATCATTTCATATAGGACGGAAAGAGGTTTAACATTTTCACAAGTGCACCAAGTGCGGGTCCTTAGTGACAGGATGAACCCAAACGAAGTGGCACATCTTAACCTTGGGGCCCTCTCTGCTTCCTGTCTGTCAGACAAGAGCTCTTTCCATACCGTGTTGGGAATATCTCTGACTTGTTCCATTCACATATATTAAGAGAGGGAATGCAATTCAAAAAGGTGAGGCTGGCATAGTGAGAGAAATCTTGTGAATTTAATTTATTTATTCTGTCTTTTTATAATTATTTTTTGTACTTAACTCTAGGATAAAATTATATAATCAGACAATGCAGATGGATTCTCCTATGTCCCTACTGCTTCATCTACGTCAAATTCCCTCACAAATTTCAGTCTGCCCCAAGCCAGCCATACGGGATCATCATGTCAGGCTTTCTTGACCACAGCACAACTCAGGGCCTTGCAAACTTGTTGGAAGGGAACTGTCTCTACCATTGAGTATTTAGAACTCCTGGATACTTCCCATAGTAACTCATTCCCTACTTATTACAATCAAAAATACCTTCAGACGTTGCCAAAGAGTCCTCCTCCAAGATCACTTCTAGCTGAAAGCCAACGGATGTCAGCCATAAGGCAACCAAGAGGCAGAGAAACATTTGGGACACACAGCACTGCTGGAGACACTTGTCCTGTGCTCCAGCAGATAGTAGTAAAAGTCCCTCAAACTCATGGGTTGATGACTGGCCACTAAGTGGGTGAGAATGAACCACTAGGGAATTCTACACACTTAGATATGGCATTTATTTTCCTGAGGCAAAAATGTGATCTTTATGGGATAAAGTGAGTAGAAAATGTAATAAATTCAAAGTTTTGGTACATTCGTGTCATTTACTTACATGGAAAGCCAGAAGAAAAATGCAGCCTATCATGTTTTTTAAACATGATATAGAGAATTGGGGTACAGGCCAGAAGTGCAGGGGTGGTGAGAGGATTCACCAGAGACAGAGCAGGATGCAGAACAGACCGAGTGATAAACTACTCTGCTGAGAGGAGCAGCAGGTGGGTCTCCACCTCTGGGAGTGTGGAGATTAAACTCATGCTGAGAGGGCTTTAGTTTCTTAGTGCTGTGCTTTAACCCACTGTGCCACAAGGCAGGGCTCTATTTGTATGCCATTTTTGTATACTTTTATTTATTAAGAGCCATAGAATTAGGGCTCTATCTAGTGGCGCAAGGGGTTAGGACTCAGCATTGCAAGCTGGCCACAGCCAGTCTGAGTTTGATCCCCGCCCTGGAGGTGATCCACATGGGGTGGCAGACCTCTCCTGACCCGCCCGCTGCTCCCCTCAGCAGTGTATTTCGTTGATATGCCTGTTCCACTTGCTTCTACTTTGTCTCTGGTGAAGCCTCTCACCATCCTGCACATCTGGCTGGTACCCCAATTCTGTATGAATAAATAAATCTTTAAAAAAAAAACATAGAATTATATAAGTTCTATATTATTTACTTTTTGTGTTGACACTAAGACTTCTAACCATGTGAAAATATACTATAACATTAAGCACAAAATCTGTGAACAATATATTTTTATTATGTAACAGGCATATGCTATACACAGACTCAGATACCTATCCAGCCACCTACTAACTGCCTGCATGCACCCCCACCATATCTATTTGCATAGAGAAAAAATTGATTGTCTACTGGCACTGGAATATGAATTATTGGGTTCTCTTTTGTAATTGTTCTGTGTTTTCCACCTATTTCTCAATCATTAACATAAAGATAAATATTTTTCAAAGGAATTTATAAATATATAAATAAGAACCATTTGCTGTATTAATGCATGGAGAATGGCTGGATGGTAACCAACATGAAGGTAAACATAGCTCTAGAATGACACATACACTCGCACATTTATATATGCAGATACACATGTTTTTAATACTAAGTGTACGATATATTTTACATATATATATATACATCCACTAATTGTATA